GGGAACAGGCACGGGTGCAGGCTCTTGCCGGGCACTAGCTGCTCCCACCCACGGAGTGTGTACAGGTGCAGAGGGAGGCTGTGCCTTGGGTGCCCTCACCCTGGGAACCGGCACAGGTGTCAGAGTAGACCAGACCTCAGCCACTCGCACACATTTGGGAGACGCCGGTGGGGATGGCCGCGGTGGCGGCCAGGACCTGATCTTAGCTGCCAGATCCTCAATCACCTGCATCTGGTGCTCGGTCCGCTTCTGCGGCTCCTCCTGGTGAGGGTGTGCCACAGCTGCCTGTTCCTTCTGCATGGCCTCTAGGTCAGCCAACATTTCAGCCAATCTTGGGTTTTGTCACCACTGTAATAAATCCACGGCAGACCTGACCAAGTTTCCATGATTTTCAGCATGGCAGCAGTCGAACGCACACAGGAACAGCAACACAAATTCAGGACCTAATACAGACTTTAAAGCCGCGCTGCAGACCACGCTCTGCCACACACTGCCTTGTAGTTGTTTTGCCTCAGCCAAACAGTTAAGTTGTGGTTTACATCCTTGTCTGTCCACCTATGATGCAGTATACATATGTAGTCAGTAGTGGCCAAAAACTCACCTTTGATTACCATATTGCATTTACTTCATCAATGAATCCAAGTGAACATTTATCCTAGATTAGCACTGCGGGGTCTTTACCTTACTGGTAAGTGGTGCTATAGGAATAAAACTGAACAGATCTAAAGAAATTGTTCCTGACATTTGGGTTTGTTAGAACAGGACGGCTGGGTGACCACAGCCCTTTCAACACAGAGCTGACAGAACTTTTCCTCCATATATTAAAAAATACAATACCCAAAATAAAACATTAAAATAAAAATACATCAAGGCAGATTACTATACTAAAAATAAAGATAAAAGTACATTTATTGGGTTTGTTTTGTCAAACTTTGCTACTCAAAGACAATGAGGAGCAAAGCACAATTAAAAGTGCTTGTTCTGATGGCAACTTTAAACTGTAAATAGTAGCTAAGTGTCCACACTTGGGGTTTTGTGTTTTCTAAACAATGTGAGGACGCTTAAACTCCATGGTTCCAGGACATCTTTTTTCTCTGCTGCCATTTACACAACTACATTCACGCCTCAAAATATCTTAAAAGTGTATTTTGTGACCCAGAAAGAGTAATATTACAACTAAGTAGCTGCCGCCATTGTTGGAATTCAACTTTTGCGAGATCTCGCAAAAGTTTTGCGAGATCCCGCAAAAGTTTTGCGAGATCCCGAGTTTGTTTTGCGAGATCCCGAGTTTGTTTTGCGAGATCCCGAGTTTGTTTTGCGAGATCCCGAGTTAGTTTTGCGAGATCCCGAGTTAGTTTTGCGAGATCTCGCAAAACTTTTGCGAGATCCCGAGTTAGTTTTGCGAGATCTCGCAAAACTTTTGCGAGATCCCGAGTTAGTTTTGCGAGATCTCGCAAAAGTCCGTCTTAATTTTTTTTTCTCCCATGTCCCCTGTGGGGCTCCGTAATAAAGCAATAAAGAGGACTGAAAAACAGGGACAATGAAAAGATAAGGGAAGAGTAAAAAAAACACCATTTCGGTCAGGCTAAAGTTTGGTGATGTATTTTAATGATCCAATCTGTTTGATTGCAACAGATTTCTAGAACAAAATAAAAGCCTGAATCTTACCGTAGCCTTGTATCATCTGTTGTTAGACTGCAGCACAGTGTAAAACTAAGAAATTACTTTACAGTCTCATTTTATGGTAATTCCTCTGTAAAATCACAACTCAACACTATTGTTTCCTACTTCTGAGGTACTTGTCTAAGTAAGAAACAGAAGAAAAACTTTTTCTTAAATCTCTCACCAATTATTTCTTTATTTACAGTGTGTGAAGGATGTGTTACAAATGTAGCGTTTTTATGTTTATTAATAGGGAATTACCCCTGACCGCTTTGCCACCCTGTCCCATCAAAAGGCTTATTTTTGTCGCCTTTCCTGATCAGGCAAACTGGGCTCTGCTGGGGTCAAACAGTAGAATGATTAAATAATCATTGCATAAGCTCTTTGTCTTTGTGCTTCCCAGATCAGAACAGTTCCTGAAAACAAAATTCTAGACTGGAAATGGTTTGATTTGGCCAAGCATTGTATGAATGCTGAGTAACTGTATTCCCACAGAAAACAGATTGTCAGAACTTATGTGATGTCAGATAGCCATTGTCTTACTATGTCACAGTAAAAAATAGCTGGGTTCCAGTGTAGCAAACATTGCTGATTATTAATAAAGAATTAATTGTTTTGAATAGCCATTTCCCCGAATGGGGAGGAGGGAGAGATAATAAAATTACACAGAAAGCTGAGACTTCTCACTTCAACAAATATCTGCTGTTAGTCAGTTTTACTGTTTTACTTACCATCAAGGCAAAAGGTTTTGGCAATGGCACAAATTTTGTGTTTCATTTTACTGCTTAAGTTTTTATTTGGTTTATATTTGTTGATGACATTCACACAATGCTAGCATCACAGGCTAAACACAGAAATGTCACCAGCATCGCTAAGGGGTCAAATTTCGCTAGCTGACTGGTCAGGTCCCACCCCCAGGTGTGTGTAGCTGTACTGAGCAGGGATTTTTCCTCAGCAACGTTTGCTGGACAAGGATTTGGGTAAAGTAAATGTTTATTGGATATTTATATGGTCTGAAGTCAGAAACAGTTAAATAAATAAAAATTTTCAGACACCGTTTTGAGAGAGATAATGAAGTTCATATAAACACTGAATTCTTTGGAAAGTATTCGATTGTGTTGATGTTTGGCTGTTTTTGTGTGCAGCCAAGATTTTCAGTCTCATCTTTGGTCAGCTCAGCTTTTCTTGTACTGCATCTCAACTATTATCTAGAATTGTGGCATGGTTAAAATCACTTGCTAATAATGACAATTCTCATATAAGCACTTTTCCAGTAACGCTGTTCTGAGTACCGACATTGTTCCTTATATTTCTATCACAAAGACAGGTGCTAATAGCAGCAAAAAGTAGCACTGACCTGGTACCAAAACTGCCTGTGCCAAAGTCAAAGGAAAAATGGACATCTGTGAATATAGGAGGGGCTAGCACAAGATAACTGACCTATTATCAGCATATGCCCCCAGCATATTCTACCTGCTATGACTATTACTTCAGTGTATGCTAGTAATGCAATGTAAACTTTGGCCTGTTGAAATGTTGCCAGTATGTGATACCCTGATGGAAACTTCCAGTCATGCAGAATGGAAATCAGACACCAAGCTCCTCTTAAAGGAACTACGTGTCTTTTAAGTACATTTTGTCGTCTTTAATTTTTACTTGGGATTTAGCAGAAAGCAGTTCCAAAGTATTACTGTCCAAGCATTGGACACATGCTCCTCCAGGGAGCCTATGTGTGCACAGCAGAATTTATTCTCTCCACTATATTTACACCAGAGCAATCTCTGCTGTAGAAATAGCAGAGATCCTTAAACTATAATTTCAGCATCCTTTAAAGGAACAGTCTAAAGAGCTTGGAAAGAAAAGCATCTGGACTTCTTTGAGTTACTTGAAGACGTTTCACCTCTCATCCGAGAAGCTTCTTCAGTTCTAAGGGTCAAATGGTGGAGTGTCCCAGATTCAAACCCAGTGGGAGTTTCCCCCCAAAGAGGGACAAAAGGACCCCCTGATGATCCTCTACCTAATCACATGAGCCAAGGTGTGAAAGCGGGTGTGGGTCACAATCAGCCAGGGTTTCTGGTGAGCTCATTGTGAAACCTAGCCCCACCCTATCATGTGATTTCCTGAGGTCAGATGGCCCAGGATGTGAGTGGGCGTTAAGGCGTCTGGGAAGGGATCTCAAAACTGGATTATAGATGGCAGACAGTTGGTGTCGTAAACCAGCGCCTCTATTCAAAGATGGTCGCTCACAGTGGACGTAAATGGCTTCTTTCACTCTCTTTCAAACCACACCCGCTTTCACACCTTGGCTCATGTGATTAGGTAGAGGATCATCAGGGGGTCCTTTGTCCCTCTTTGGGGGGAAACTCCCACTGGGTTTAAATCTGGGACTCTCCACCATTTGACCTTAGAACTGAAGAAGCTTCTCGGATGAGAGGTGAAACGTCTTCAAGTAACTTAAAGAAGTCCAGACGCTTTTCTTTCCAAGCTCCTTAGACTACGATGACCTGGATGACTGAGAACCTTCACAGACTTTAAAGGAACATATAATGAGAAAATTAATTCTAACCGCTGTTGGGATCCAGTAACTTGGTTGTCAAAACAAGATGTAAGGTATACCACGACTCTCTTTCTATCTCTCTCATGTTATAATCTAAAAGTGCTCTCTGATTTTAACATGGGAAAGTGCCTGTTTGTTTACAGCGTGATTCGAGCTATACTGGGGGGGGTCAGTCCCAGCTGAAGCAACGCAGTGTCTTGGGACTGAATCGGAAAAAAACAAACTGTTCCTGGATCAGCTTGTTGGAAAACAAGCTGAGTCCCCACTGCATTAGGCTAATATAAGAGTGGACAGAGAAAGGTTTTGACAGAAAAAAATGACTGAGTCAGGTCACACCCTTACAAAAGTTAGTTTCCTCTTTTTATCAGCTTATCTGTTGACGCTTCTCATAAGTAAAATAACTTGTTTTTGAGGGTAATATGAAGCTTTGAGAAGCTCATAATATTATTAGCAAATATTGATTTGATCCGAATAATAAATAAATATATATAAATTACTGACAGATGAATGGTAAAAATGGTAAATGGCCTGTATTTGTATAGCGCTTTACTAGTCCCTAAGGACCCCAAAGCGCTTTACACAACCAGTCATCCACCCATTTACACACACTGGTGATGGCAAGCTACATTGTAGCCACAGCCACCCTGGGGCGCACTGACAGAGGCGAGGCTGCCGGACACTGGCGCCACCGGGCCCTCTGACCACCACCAGTAGGCAACAGGTGAAGGACACAACGACCGAGACTGTCCAAGCCGGCGCTCGAACCCGCAACCTTCCGATTACAAGGCGAACTCCCAACTCTTAAGCCACGATCGCCCAATCTTTGAATCTATTTCATATCAACTCACCTAAATGACAAAATATATCAGCTGAGACTGAAGAAGTCACTTGGATGATGACGAAACATTTCTCCCACTGAAAACGCTACGTCCAGATGAAGCGAATCAACTTTTGGAGATATCATGGCTTGGTGCATTAACTCCACTGGTTGCAAACTGAGTCACAGTGAGTTTAAAACCTTACTAAACACTTTTCTGGTGTGATACAAACTACAGATTGACAAGTTGGTACTGTATGAGCATGCACACCAAGAATGCAGTGCTTGGCTCAACGGTCCCAGTTTGGTTGCAGTAAAAGTTAATCAAGACATTAAGCTCAAATCTTTGTTTAGGTAAAAAGAAAAAAGATCTACTAGCGCTGCTATCAATCCATATTTTTAATGTTGTAAAGCATTCAGTGAAACTTCCGAGTTTCAGCCTTTTACTTTTACTTTTTCTGGATGTTCAAAAGAAATTTCAAACCAGTCCGTTGCAAAAAAAGATCAAATTTAACTCCCCGTGTAATTAACTAACACATATTTGGAGTTAAGCTTTAGGTAAGGTTTTCAAATAATTTTTTCCCCAAGAAAATATATTGTTTAAAATGGTGAGCTGGCATTTAATGACCCCAAGTCGGTTACCTTGCACCGAAAAATAGGAGAATTTTAGTGATTGATGCTTGAATTAATGCTGGTTTCACTTGAGTTGATGAACAGCCATGCCCAGACAATGCAAGTAGCACCTCCTGGCTTCCAGCAAACCTGACAGGTGATGATTCATCTCTTCAGATAACACCTTTCCACAACCCCAGAGTCAAGTGGGTTGGTGTTATTCATTTCCCATGGTGTTCCAGGCAGTTCACTGCCAGAAAAGCATGGCATGCAGCTTTAACTGAAGCTATTTTTGATGCACGTAATAAAAGCCACAGCCCTTCAAGGCATGGTGGCATAGATAAAGGGACTTGTTGACTGTGTTGAAAATGTGGTTTGCCAGAACAAGCAATGTAGTGCCTGCCATTTGTCCTTCTTCATCTCTCTCTCATTGGCTGCTCACTTGTTTCTGCTTGTGCTACTTTTCCAGACACTTTTTAATATAGATTTGGAGACCCATCTCACTTGTACACCCATTATATCATGCTAATGTGGTAAGAAATATGCTGTTTGGTGTCTTCAAAATAAAAGCCTCATCCTGGTTTGATAATCTAATTTATTATAGTCAAGCAGCATTACATTTTTGTTTTTTCACCAGTATGACTAAAAGTGATTAATTGTAGTAAAGCTAAAAGAATAAAGTGATACCATAGATATGAAAGTGAACTCAACAGACCAGTGGCAGACTGCCATCTGAATCACTGGGTCTGGTGGCCTGAGATTCATATTAACCTGTTGTTAACATTTAACTTGTCCAACTTGTCCAAAAAAAGCAAGAATGAGATACTCTCTTGCTCATCTGCCTACAGGCTTTCTGCTTTTGTGGCAGTATCTGTGGTGCACCGTAGTGCACACCAAACATGCACTTTAGTGCATGTATGCAGCCTTGCGGTACAAGCCATACATACCAGCTTCTCGTGCAGTAAATTTTAGTTTGCCACATGAAATGGGCAGAGTGAGAGATGCACAAAGCTGCAACCTGATGCTGAATACTTTACCTGATTTACATTGTTTCAACCTAAACTTATATTAAGTGTGTCTGTGTGTGCATGTGTGATTTAACTTTGCTTACCTGCTGAATATAGATATTCATTTTACCTTTGTAGCCTCTGATTAAATGGAATGATCCTTTTCAAAAAGTGCTGAAAGACACCACAAAAACTCTTGTTGTAGAGAAAGTCGGACACGCTTTTACTTTTTAAAAATTATATTAAATTATATCACTACATTGACAAGAGGAGTTGCCCTCAGCTGGCCAGTGGGCCAATGGGTCAACTGGTCCTACAAGCACTGACAGCAGCTCATTCATCCATTTTTATTGCTGACACTGTATTACCCAATCAAATCTCTTAACGCAAACACCCCACCCCTACCTTCGTTGTGTAGAACAGAGTTTAGTGTGAAAGAAGTGGTGAAAAGGTGGAACTGAAAAGATAAGAGATAAAAAGAAACTAAAAATAAATGCAGCACAAGGTGTCAAGTTAACTGACATGTTACCTGAGATTGTTGCTAGCACCAGCAGTGGAAAAGTGCAGGAGGAGGGGCCACGACCGCAACCCTAGAGACGAAGAGACGGAGAAGTTTGACCTGCTTTGACCTTGAGCCACTGCTAAAGTGTAGTTTTTAATTGTCACATGATGCAGTGCAGTGCAACTGAACTAACCCAACACCACCAGGACTTGTTAAGTCCAGTAGAAGAACTATTTTGAGATGAACTTTTTTCTTTTTTTTAAGTCAGCCTCAGCTGGTCATTACAGGAATTGCTGTTTCTTGACACTTCCTTCTACTCATTTTTCAATCCACAAAGTTTGGCAGTTTAAGAACATCATGATTGATAATTACATTAATTACAATAAATTCTGTACCGTGACACGCATATTTCACAGGCAGCTGTCTAATAATTTAACACAAACAACAACAAAACAATTCCAAAATATTAGGCACTAGTAGAGAAATGATACTAAGTATAATTTGGAAAAGATTTGGTGCCATTAAATGTTCTGCAGAAAGCACTGGATAAAGACTTGCATTGGAAACCTGAAATGAAAGGAAGCTGGTTGGTCTGCGTCGCCGGTTCCGCCCATTTTTACCTCCACCGTGTTTTCCTGGCTCCCTACCTGAAGGAAACAAAACACTCTGAATCAGCATGGAACAAAGGGATGCAAGATGTGTGTGTTGTTTACCTGCAGTCCTCTCTGAATGGCCCATGCATGCATTTGTATGGCCAAAAAGTTTGGGTTCCTGTCTTGATGCAAAGGAAGGAAGAGGTACAAAACATTAAAAGTTGAATGTATTTTGGCTGATAAGCCATCAGGATGTGCTGGCATAACACTTTACAAGAGCCTCTGCCGTCAGCTCCCATTGCTTTAATGACTGGGAAAAATTCTGTCATCATTTGTTTGAATTATGGGAAAACACTGAGCTAACTAAATGCAACAGGAATACTCCAAAGACTTTTGTTTGGTAATGGTTGTTTAAGTATATAATCTGCTTGTGAATCAGATTATCCTGTGGAGTTCATGTAAAAAAGATGGACATAGCTAGCAGGTTTGAAAAGAGAGGCCAACATGGAAATTTCCCCAAACCTGCAAAGTCAGTGAGAAAAGGATCCCACTTCTTAATTACTTCCCCAATGAGGTGTTGTCTCAGTTATTTGCACTATCAGATTATGTCTGGTTATTGAAGCCTTAGAGGGTACAGCAGAAACATTCAGTCAAGGCTCAAAAAACTCACATCACCACAAGCGTGACATGTGAATCATACATCTGCGTCAGATCTACACCATAACCAGAACCCCATTTTAACCCTACACCACAACCTTCTACATAATCTTATGTGCACCTCCCAAGAAATGTAACTACATGGTTGACACAACAACTTGAATGGTGCGGAATATATGTATTCATAGCTGCTATAGTCAGCTGCTGTGTAGGTGTAGCACTTAGAGGAAGCTGAATATGTGGTGGTGTTTGTCTCATCCTACCTGAAAAACTTCCATTACTTGTGGCTTTGTGGTTTAGTTTATCCTCAGCATTGTGACCTGAATGTGGCAGAACCACTCTCACCAGGGAAGCAAAAATGTGGCGAGACAATAAGTCTATAATTGCCTTTCTGTACCCGTTTTGGTCTGTTTGTGTGGATCTCTCAGTATTTCCCAGTCAAATAGAGGATGTGCGTCATAATGCAGCATAAAAACACAGCAACAAAAGCACAACAACAAAGGTAAAGCTTTGAAAAAGGATTTCCATGCAACAGGAAAGCAGATCAGACTGTCATCAAAAGGTTTTTAATAGCATGTGGAACATTAATGGTGGAAAGTATGCCCATCTTGAGTTTGCATTTAAAATCAGGTGGAACAAAGCCAAGTATATTAAAATGATAAAGTACAATTCATTACAGTTCATTTGTTAAACTGTACAGACAGATAGAAAACAAAAGACACAAAAAACACCAGCTGTCTTAATGAAACTGGGCCACCACATTCCTCCACAACAGGCAAACTGGTGTTCTGGTGATGGTGATGTTCACTTTGTTTCTGTTTTGATAATTGTGGTGCTGGTGTACAGCACGGTCAGTCTTCTACATTTGTGCTGACGTTAATGCCCGAGAAGGTTTAAAACTCTGCAGAGTTACTGATTTTGGTGACTTTTACTTACTATGCACATTCACACTCCGGGACCTCACTTTGTAACTTCGGTCTGTCACTTCACGCCTGAGATTCCTAAATGCTTCCACCTTACAATGTAAGTCCCAGATCTTCTATTGGTGAGTTTCAATCTAGTGATTCAAGATCACTAGATTGAAACTCAGTCAGATCACAGCATATACTTCAACAATCCATACATTTTCTGATGTTTATCTGGGTATGGGTCGCGGGGCAACACTTTAAACAGCCACGTACTCCAGCTATTTTGGTGAGACATTGAGGCGTTCCCAAGCAATCTCAGAGAGATAATCTGTCCAGCATGTCCTGGGTCTACCCTGAGGCGTACTTTCAGTTGAACATACCTAAGACACCCTTACCTAGGAAGCGCCTGGGAAACACCCTAGGCATCCCAGACAGATACCTAAATCACCTCAACAGCCCCTCCCAAATTACCAAATTCCTTGTCCTATGTTAAAGGGAGAAATGCGGTGAGGAAAAGGATTGATATCCCTTTTTTTAACGATACCATTCATTGGCCATGCAAGTAAAGTTTCTGCAACAGCACAAAGAAAGCTGCCAGGTGCTCCTAGTGTAGGATTAGAGTTTTTCCTTTAATTTTTCACCTGGTGTGTGTTGCCTCAGCTTGGCCAAAAGTTAGAGTTAAGTAGGAGTTAAGACGACTTTGTCTCAAACAGAACACTTTTAAAAAAAAAAACTTTTATGCAAATGTTAGTATTGTGTAATTATTGATTTCAAAGTGTGTGTGTGTGTGTGTGTGTGTGTGTGTGTGTGTGTGTGTGTGTGTGTGTGTGTGTGTGTGTGTGTTTGTTTAACAGGAACAGCAGTCTTGTTATTTATTTATTTTAAGTAAATGTTAATAGTCAGACAATTAATCATTTTCATGAGGTAATCACATGGAAAACAGTCTGCAAATATTAAGATTGAGTAGAAACACTTACTTTTAAGCTAACCTGAACTATGACAACAGAACGCTTAATTCCAAACTTTAACATTAGACTAAACCTGAATCCCCAAAACAAACTGAAACCCGCAGATTTACCTTGTAACATTTCTCCTTTGATCCCGTGCTCACAAAGATGGCGCTGCAAGAGTACACACAGCGAGCGAGGAAGACGGAGGGACCAGCAGCACAGAACAGGCTGTTACAGAATGTTCTTCAATTAAAATGTTTGAAACTGCTAAATGGTCTTGAACTGAGCACTCGATTGGCTCCAGACCAACTCAAACACAAGAATACACACGTGAGCGCGCACAAAGTTGCTTGTGCAAACTCTTTTTTTTTTTTTTTTTTTTTTTTTTTAAATGACATCAGAAACAGCAGTATGCGACATTACGTGATGGCAGAGCTTCAGTTCATCCTTTGTCATTTTTTTTTTTTTTTTTTTTTTTTAATAAATAGGACAGGGGAATGAATGAGAGAGAGAGGGGGAGAGAAAGAAAGAAAACCCAAGGGGAGAAGAGACGGTGAGAAGGGGGGGAAGAGAGACAAAAAAAAAAAAAACTCCTGGGTCACCTGTATGGAGAAAAAACAAACAAACAAACAAACAAACAGAGGAGACAGCAAACAACAAAGAGCAACATAATAATAGAGAAAACAAAGCACCATCACAATAAACTAGCTAGTCATAGATATCAGTATTTACTAAGTAATAAACGATATTGTGCAGCACGCAAGATAGACAGCGCACAGTGTGCTTTGAGGCAGCAGCCAAGAAAGCTTTAGTCCGCGTCTGTGAATACCCATGTGTGCATACCTGTGTGGATCAGCATGCTTGCATTCCAAAGGTTTCTCCATGTAATGATCTGCTAGGGAGTGTGGGGGGGCCACAGCCCCATCCTCCAGGGTGTGAAGCGGGTATGGAGGAGATCAAAACTCCAGACATCCAGAGGCCCCCAGAACACAAGAGACCATGGAAGACCAACAGAGGGGCAGCCGCGCCACTGTTCCAGTAAGAGCTGAGGAGAGTCCCAGATGAGGGCTCGCCCAGCAGCCGCGGAGCAGAAGTCAGGGGGGGTTGCAGTGACGCGCCCGTGAGCTCCGCCGGCCCCCAGCTGCGCCTGAGTGACCGAGCCCTAGGCCGAGAGGCCGGGGGCACCCCACCTCCAAAGGGGCCCGAGCGAGCCCCAGGCCCCAGGCCCCGACAAGCGGCCGCCAAGGAGTGAGCCGGTGTGTACCCGGACGCCCACCCCCAGACACAAAGAACCACCAACACACCGACACCTGAGGGAGTCCGCCACCGGCAGGGGAAGTGGTGGTGGGTGGAGATAGGCCTCCAAACCTTGGAGGGCCTGAGGTGTCCCCAGAGAGGTGGCGTCTGATACCCAACCTGACATATAGACACAGACATACAGGCACACACAGACACAAACATCCATTCCCACCCTCATGCTCTCATATGCACTCACTCCACACTCAACCAACGTGGAGACAGACATAAAGAGACGCTGTACACACAATCACACTCCCCAAGCGTACTCTACAAACCGGGTCTAGGTACCCTTGCCCCTGGAGGGGGGAATTGCACCCAGACCCAGGTGGTGTTACCCTTTTCCCTGCGGTGGGGAGAGGCAGACCACCCCGACTCCGCAGCAGCAGGGAGGCCCCACACCCCAGACCGCAGTCGGACGGCCAACTCCTCCTACTAGCCCCCCCGCTCCAGCAGGCTTGTGCGAACTCAAATCATCTGGTAAACAGTCCCGCCTGCCACAGTAACATTTTAACAAGGATGAGTACACTACATGATAAAAGTACACCAGCTTTGAAAAATGTGACACAGCTGGCTGTCAACCAGACGTGGAATGTAAGCAACTTTATTTAATGTGGTGGGTATTTACAATGCAGTTTTAATGTGCAAAACACACCATTATTTATAGTTTTGGAGCTTTACTTGTTTTTAGATGAAGTGAACATTAATTCCACATTATAATCTTTCAACTGATCTGAGAGGATGATGTTTAAATATGTCAGGTTGAAGTTCAGCAAAGCTGTGCCACATGTACCTCTGTGACATGTCATATTTTTGAACCGTTAAATACATTTGAGATGGTTTTCACTAGCTGGGACCACATCCTCATTTTAGGTTTGACAGCATTTCTAGTGGACAATGGCAGATGGCTTGAGCATGAGTTGAGGCTGTGGTTTGGGGAAGGCCTCAGAGGGGACTGGCAGCGTCTACTGGGCCGGGCAGATCCCCATGTACTAATGAGAAGTGAATATATTAAAAAAGTGAGGTAGGGTGGGGCATGAAAATGAGAGCAGCTTGTTGTGCCAAGGAGGGGGACACATATAGACAGTTCTCTGTCTACAGGAAAAAGCCATTTGCCTGCACTGTCCTTATGATACAGTTGAATAGCATATGATTTGTTTGGTTTTTTGTTTTTTTGTTTTTTTTAATTTAGGACAGTTCTGATTTCTATTACTTTTCAAACATTATGACAGTCAAAAGGAATATTCTTCAAAAAAAGAAATTCAGACATAACTATGTGTTATCCTCAGTTATCTGACTTGACACCACAGGTCAGCCCACAGCAGCAGTGCTCCAAGCTTCAGACTCAGACATTCTGAACCACACCAGCGTAAGGGAGTGCTTTAACAGTCATTAGCAGGATGTGGTTAAGGGATAAGGGTAAGGGATATTGTCATGTCTATTTTTGCTGAGGTCATGGTGGTTTGAATGTTTTGTAAAAACCGGTATGTGATAGATATCTAGAGAATACATCAAAAATAATTACATCGAAAAGGTAGGTTTTATCTAAAAAGATGTTTAACTGGGGGGGATCACATTTTTATCATGTACTCCAACAAAAACAAAAAAGATGATTCAGTTGGTGAAGAATGTCAAACTTATCTATATCACACGTACTAGGTTTCAGCTTCTGTTAACTATTTATAGATGTAAGCTTGTCACTTTTTTTAGGTACACCTCTTCAACTGCAAATATCTAACCAGCCAATCATATGGCAGAAACTCAGTGCAATTAGGTATGTCGATTTGGGCAAAACGATCTGCTGAAATTCAAACCAACCATCAGAATGGGGACGAAGGCTGAATTAAGTGATTCTGAATGGGGCATGGATGTTGGTGCCAGACAGAGTGGCCTGAGTTTCAGAGAAGGTGATTTCCTGCACAACTACCTTTAATATTTACAGAGATCAGTCTGAAAAGGAGAAAATATCCGGTAAGCAGCAGTTCTGTGGGTGAAAATATGTTGTTGATGTCAGAAGAGAATGGCCAGATTGCTATAAACAGATAGGAAGGCAACAGTAACAGAAATACCACCTCCTGCTACCAGGATGTGTAGAAAAGAATCCCTGAATGCATAATAGCAAACACATGGCAGCAGCAGAAGACCATACTGGTGCAGCTGATCATAGGAAACCGAGACTGAATATCAAATGTGGACCACAGACGATTGGGCAATCACTGTCTGGTTTGGACGATCTGATTTCCTCGTGTCAGCATTGTTCCCACATCATCATAATTAATGTTGTTCCAGGTTCAACATTGCAAGTGACCAATCACCTTCTTGTGACGTCATTCCTTTGCGACTTCGAAATACCCGCCTTCGATTATTTCGAAATACAAGTGAAGAAGCGAAAAACCGCCGCCTGTCCGCCGAATTTGAAGTCAATTTAGGATACTTTCCTTTAATAAACGGTAAGCATTATACATATGTTCCTCTAGTGATGGGCAGATGAAGCCCCATGAAGCACTGAAGCTTTTCATCCAATTGGTTCACCCCAACGCGAAGCTTCATGAAGCTTCATTTGCTCTAGCAGGACGTAAAAATAATAGCTGGCATGAATTTGAAGAGTGTGGCATTTTGCACACAGCCTGTAAATGTCAACAACAAAAGGAGTGTGTAAAACATGTATATTGTAGTGATGGCAGTATACTGTGTATATTTATAGTGGCAGTATGGGAAATGATTATTTGGAAATGCTTGAAATGGAAATGATCATTTACTGTGAGGTGAGGTGTGGTTGGGGTGTGGACAGTGGTTGTGCTTTTGTAACGTTGAGGTATGGACAGCTACACACTCCTGCCTGTTCACATTTTATTCTGTAAAAACTAAATTTTCACTGCTTTTATGACCTTTTTAGTGGGGAGAACATAGCTAGGATTTAATGATTTAACAAATCTTTTGAATCCTTTGTCCTCCACAATGCTAAATGGCTGGGAGTCCTCAATCACCATGCTGACCAGGTCTTCATCTATTTGAGATTGTTCTCCTGAGGAAAGACAATAAAGATAAAGCACAAATATAAATATCACACACGTAACTTATAACAGTTGTATAATATTGTTATATCATTTAGTAACATTACTGCATCCTATATTATCATTGCATTTGATGGCTCACCTGGTCTTGCTCCACAATCGGTGTCCCCCTTATTCTCATGCAAAGCTCTGTAGTGCCTAAGCATGGATAAGGTGTTGTTGTTGTTATATCCCAGCTCCCTGGCACATAGAAAACACTTCACCTTGTACAAAAGTCAAGACAGCTCAACATAAATAAGTATTGCACCATCAGTATCATGAAAATACATCTTCTGTAGAAATTTACATACCTTGTTGGGAGGAATAAGATCAAAATGTTCCCACACAGGGGAGGACATCCTCCTCTTCTTAGCTGGCTCCATTCTCTCCTGACTTTCCTCACTCTCATAAACCTCCAAACGGTCTCCAAACTCTCACTAACCGCAACTCTCCATCAAACACCCACATTTTTGAATGAAGTCTGAGGGGTTTATATCGCTGTCATATCTCGCGGCAAAGTTCGAACCACTTCATGAACCAGTCACGTGGTACAGCCGGGCAGCGAGGCTTCGGACGTCATCATTTTCAGCTCCTCCCATAAATGAAGCAAGCCTCGATACGCGCTTCGCGGAAACGCCCCCTCCATTACTCGACACACGCTCCGAAGCCTCGATACAGAACGTCCCATCACTATGTTCCTCACTTGGCTTGCTGTTTGTTTGCTAGCGATAGGCTACTTGACGACAGCATTAGCTAACCAGTGTTCTCTAGACCAGCGTTCCCCAACTTTTTGGGTGTTTCGTGGCCCGGGGGTTGGGTCAGGCAAAATTGCAGTAGCTTCCCTGATCATTTTACAAACATAAGTGAAGAGAATCTGGACTAAAAGGCCTAGACTTATGGTTGTGTGCTGAATCTATGAATCAAACTATCACCTGGAAACATAATTAACTGGTCCATAGCTGTGAAACTGGACATGAGTTCTTGATTCTATGGAGATTAACAGTAATCCAGAAATTTACAAATTTGTCCTGGTACATCGCGTAAATGTTGTCCCTGGGACATTGTGTAAATGTTGTCCCTGGGACATCATGTAGAATTTGCCCTGGGACATCGTGTAGAATTTGCCCTGGGACATCGTGTAGATGTTGTCCCTGGGACATCGTGTGATAGCTTGTAAATAATGGAATGAAAATTATTGATTGTTATTAATTTGTGAAAAAGAAGTGTAACAAATCCACATGTTATGTTCTTACACCCTTACAGAAACTGTGACTCCTTCACAATGTCAGGTAAATGTCAACTCATGTTGAATAATCAACCAATCAAGCCTTTTATTATCACATGCAATGTTACACGTACAACTGCAATGAAAATTTCACCCCCTTCTGACCATACATATATTGCTTAAACATCACATTGGGAAGACAGGTCGGAAACAGTTAGGAAGGTCAGAAAACAATTTAATTAACAGATGAGGAGGAGAAAAAAGAACTACAACCAGACAAAGCTCCTAGAAGACTGAAATGGATGATGGTTGCAGCATGCAAAAAGAAAATGATATCTGTTGACTACAGCATATGCTTTCTCACAGATTACCTTGTGGGAGTAGCTGGACCAAACTCTATTGGTATTTCAAGTTTGAAATCCCTGTTTGACCAGACTAACATTTCAGATGAGGTACCTCTTGACATAAAAATCCTTTTATGTTGTCATAAAACTAATGTTAAATTCTGCTGTTCTGATGTTGCAGCTCTGAAATATGGCCGAACTGGTGGCAAGTGGCATCTTGGCAGCTGCACGCTTGACTTTTCTCAGTTCATGGGCAGTTATTTTGTGCCTTGGTTTTTCCACACGCTTCTTGCGACCCTGTTGACTATTTTGAATGAAACGCTTGATTGGTCGATGATCACGCTTTAGAAGCTTTGCAATTTTGAGACTGCTGCATCCCTCTGCAAGATATCTCACTATTTTTGACTTTTCTGAGCCTGTCAAGTCCTTCTTTTGACCCATTTTGCCAAAGGAAAGGACGTTGCCTAATAATTATGCACACCTGATATAGGGTGTTGATGTCATTAGACCACACCCCTTCTCATTACAGAGATGCACATCACCTGGGGGCAGGGATAGCTCAGTAGGTAGAGTGGTGGCCCCATGATCGGAAGGTCGGGGGTTCAACTCCACTGAACGGCTACCCTGAGGTACCCCTGAGCAAGGTACCGTCCCTACACACTGCTCCCCGGGCGCTGCACTGGTGGCTGCCCACTGCTTCACTGGGTGAATGGGTTAAATGCAGAGGAACTATTTCCCTATGGGGACTAACAAGCTCACTTTACACTTTACACCTAATATGCTTAATTGGTAGTAGGCTTTCGAGCCTATACAGCTTGGAGTAAGACAACATGCATGAAGAGGATGATGTGGACAAAATACTCATTTGCCTAATAATTCTGCACTCCGTGTATATTACTATCTCTATCTCCAAATAAAACATACACACATATAGTTGATGAATAAGGGTAAGATCAGTATGCTTTAATAAGATATCAGTGCAGAAACACAAACTTCTTATTGGGTTACATTCCCCACATTGTTGTAATAATAATAGTAATAATAATAATAATAATATTCATAATAATAATAATAATAATAATAATATCATCAACATAGATTTTAAGCATATTTTTAAAAAAAAATCAAAATGGTATTGTATGACATTGACAGAACAGAATACAAGTAGCTTAACATGGATCCCATAAGGAAAAACAAAAACCCTGTTACACAAGCCAAAGATAAAATGCGGATATCTTTTTAAAGAGGAAGCGCGATGAGTGAGTGGATTAACTCCTGAATGATTTGTCACTTTACCCTTCAAGCAGCACAGTATGTTGCGCACTGGTGATAAGCCTCCTAGAGTTAAAACACAAAGCTAAAGACCCAATGATTTTTTTTGGGGTTAGCGTCACTAATGCTCGTGTCTCTTCGACATTTCTTCAGGGAAGGAGTTTTTGTTTGTTTGTTTTTTGCTTTTACCCCCTTTAATTTCCGACTTTGCAACATATCTTAGTTGTTGTTTTATTTCAACACTGGACATACATTTCACCTATTTGGCATTCAACAAGTTTCATGGTAGCTGCTGAATGCTAACAACATAATAGCTTTTAATTTTCTGACCAAAGCTAGTGGAGTTTTTTTCCTTCTTTTTAAATCAACTTCCGTGTAGCCAACTTTTTCCACATGCATTACCACAGTTTCTTTCTTATCTGATGAGGTCATTTAAACTCATCTGAGGTGCTGTTCTTTGTCGCTGTGCATATTTCCTCACACTAAATACATCTTTGGTTTGTAATATTTCACTTACCACTGAGATTCTTTACTAGTTTATATTGCACATAAAATTTGCAATTAAAAAACGATAACATGCTTCAAACATGCTGTAAGGTGCTTTTCTGGAAACCAATGTTTCTATATTTTTATATATTTCAAACACTGTACATAATCCTACAAACATTAGCATTTAATTGAAGCCTCTTTTTACTCCAAATATGAAAAACTTCCAATTTAATCAAGGGTATAAATGGCCTCTTCTTTTGGGTTGAAAAGAAACATTTTGGTAAAGTGAAAGGAGTGAAGAGGAGAGGAGAAACAAAGAAGTGATTTATCAAATTGGCAAGTGGAGAAATATGGCGCAGGTAGGCAGGCTGAACAGGAAGTCTGTCATTTCATTTGTCCTTCAACTGAACTTCACTTCTTTACATCTCCTCTTATTTGAGATTGTTGCAAATTTTGATCAAGTTTTGGTTGCAATTTTACTGTTAAAACTCTTCCTCCTGACAGATTTGGCCTAATTATATGCGGTTAACTAGAGGAAATTTAGAGGTAATTAATTTAGAAGTAATTGCACATTTTCATTGTGTAATTACCTACTGCATTTTTTTTTTTAATTGTTATCAGGACGGTCCCCTTCCTCTTTTTTGGCACAGTTTCAACATAATCTTTTGATATTTTACAAAATTATGCTTGTAACAGACACCTTTAGCACCACTCAGTACCAGAAAACCCTTATAGGCACATGAGCGCTGACTGAAGCAGCATGTTGAGACACTATATATTAAAATATAAGAGCTTAACATTACAGTCAAATCTTTTTTCCCCCACCCAACTAATTCTAAAAACCCACAAGCAGCCTCATTAGCAAACAGGTCATCTGATAAGCCTCACACAAAGCTTAATTTGTTATCAAAAGGAAGGATTGGTTCTAATGGGATTCTACTCACATCCAAGAGACTGGCTCATCACTGCTGATCAATTAGGATCGAAATAGATCCCAAAAGCTCTATTAGGTTTGGGTATATTTAAGGAATAAGTGAAAGAAAGCTACAGTGGCGCAAAATCTGAAGAGTTATCATCAAAATCATTCCAACTGTGAATGTTTTCTCCAAATATTATAAAACACATGACAAATTTGTATTTAACAATAATCTATATTTCTTTAAAAAAAAAAAAAAAAAAAAAAAAAAAAAAACTTTTGGGGGTTTTATTTTTAGATTGATATCTTCTACTTGGCTGCGAGAAAATATCTCAATTTCATATCCAAATTTAGATTCATGCAGCAAACAGGAGAAAAGAATTTACCTTTAACTTAAGATGCAATGTCAAGTTAAGATTGCATTTGATAATCATCCCCCGCAGACCTACAGTATGCCATCTACAGATCTAAAGGAACAAACTGTGCACTTGAAGGGTGACCTCGGTATGTTGAGACAACCATAAAGTCATAAGGCACATCATAATGATTAAAATGAACTTGAAAGAAGTTGAGCACATCAGGCGGAGAACATCAAAATACAGTGTTAGTGGATCCAAGAGATGTAATAAAAGTTCTACAAATGACAATGATACAATGTCTATGAAGCACCTTTTGCTTTTATATATGCAACTGGAAAACTATGTGATTAACAATGTGGCAACTTCACCTTCCTTACAATATTCAAAATGCTACATATCTGAAAAGTGAAACTTAGAAAACTGATATTTACCTCTTGTTTTGTTGTTGTTGTTGTTTTTTTATCTGATTTTTTTTCTTGTTATTTTTAAAGCAAGAACAACAACAGTACTGGCCAGCCAACAGATTCCATGGATATTTTAGGATAGAATAAAAAATAAAAAAAAATGCCACCACAACACAGAAACAGCACAAGAAGAAACAGCACTGTGAGGGACTGGCTCTAACTGCATCTATGGGGGGGTAAGGTAAGGACAAAGTACCAGGACACAAACACGAAAAACACCATCTTTAACATTAGTTCTGTTTTAAATACATAACATATGTGTACAAAGCTCAAAGTGGTCACCACACAGAGACAATTACCTCAAAAATATAGACTGAGCTTAAGAAAATACTTTGAGAGGAAAGAACAGAAAAACTGTATTTCACTGAAGACATACTGACAATGTTTGGATGAAAAATTAGTTTCAAAATCTGCTCTTATGGCAAGTAATAATCAAAGCCTTAAAGCTTTCTGTAACTGGCAGCCACTTGGTTTGTGAGTAAAGAAAAACTGGCCTTGTCCTAATCTTTAAGAAAATTATATAAACTCCACTTTCAAGTCATGTCACAGGCTGCTGTACTGCATTAAAACCATGGCTGCTGCTATGTACATATGCATTGTCTGAATGAGTAAGTGATCATGTCAACGCTGCCGTCTTTACCCTGTCTGTTATGTGCAGCGGTGTGCACAGGAGGTCGGGGCGGGGGACGACATCCAATCATGATCTTTTGCCCTAATAAAACACCAAGGGGCAACAGAGGTTACTAGAGCCGCTTAAGCTAAGCGCTATTTCGGCTCTACTGGGTCCCCCAAAAAACACCCCTCAGCTGCCCGTCTAGACAGCTCAAGTGCCCACCTGATCAGCTAAAGTGCCCTTTTGATCCCTCCCACGGCACTTGTGATTAGCCCAAGTGCCCCCTGTGTTGGGCTCAAATGCTCTCCAGTTGGCTTAAAAGAGCATACCAGTGACAAATCTCACATACTTTACCACCTGACCATTCTCTAAGCATTCTGCAAACCACATTTTTTCAAGCTGTGCTTCCTACAATGATTGTACAGCTTGTCTGCTAACAATTTTGTTGTGTACTGTACATAATTCAAACCAATAAGTGTCTCAAACTAAATGTAAAACCGTGGCACGACAGGATTCAGCAAATCATGCAAACTTTTTCTTAAAGCTTCCCCAAGTACAGGTGCAGGACAATAACGAAACCAAAACACCCCCACCACCACACAAAGGTGTCCCCCTTTTTCAAACAGTCCCTGGTCCCCTCATAGTCTGTGCACACCACTGGTCTGGTCTTTATGGTTTCCTGTATTGCATAAAATGTGTGTTAGCTAATAACATTTAATTATATGAACTCTTACAGTGTGTGCATGTCACATTCCTTTGTGCAGGCTATTGATTATGTACATAAAGTCTAGCTTTGTTACTGACAATCTAAGTTTTAGCTCAATGAAATAATTGCACAATAAGAAAATAACCCTGTATCCACACAAGCTACACACCTGACTGAGACACTAAAGTGAGGAAAGCGTGTTTAGACAGATTTAAGATGAAGATGTTAAATCTTAAATGTTCAGATTACATATATTGCAATATGTTTATTACAGTGTCAGAGAGAGAGTGAGAGACAGAGAAAATAAGAGAATGTAGAACGTTGAGTAAGAACTAAAGAAGAAAAAAAGGCAGTGTTAATGTGGTGAAGTGTCCGGTCAGTTTGGATTGAATAAACTGGGGGAATTTCATAAA